AAAAGGCAAAGATTTAATACAGCCATTATCTTTTTCTAAGTTATGTATGTTATACAATGGCGGGTATTGGATGTTGAACAAATATGTTTTAAGGATCACTTTAGAAGGTACCAGAATGAGTTGCTTAAGGTCATAAAAAAGAAATAGATATCTATTCCCATGGATCAGCTTCTGCTGTCAACATCATATATAATTCAAAAAGTGTTTATTTGAATCAAATTGATTAGAAAAGAAGGTGATATAGTCTGAAAATTTTATGTTACTCAAATCAAAAAAGTTGCCTAATGATGGAGACAGTGACATCAAGGATGGTTCAAAGTATTTGGACAAAATTATTCCCCAGAATTTTAACTCCTTTCTAAAGTTTCAAGCTGTCCCCTAAATGTTTTATTTTCTCAGATTAGGAAAATGGAGGATATCCTAATGTGTTTTGTCTTATTTTTGGATATTAACGTTATATTATTTTCCTTCCCCATTTGTTATTGTGTTCATCAGTGTCTCCCCATTCTTTTCCCTTCATTTGGCTAATTTGTTTCAGCCAACATTTAGTTACTACACCTCTCCTAACATTTAAAATAAAGGCTTAATTTTGCATACAAAAACTGCAGTCTCTTTCTTGGTTTTAGAATAACTTCTCTCTAAATATTTGTCTAAAAAAAAGATTTTGTGCTTTTTTTTTTCTTTTTCCTAGAAAGGCAAGTAAGAAAGTAGAAACTAAATTTGCAAAAGTTAAAATGGTTAATTCTGGATGTCTTGTTTGGGACTGTTGAGTGTTGCTTAGTGGTAGGTAGAGTACATGCTCATTTAGTGTGTACAAGGCCCTGTGTTCAATTGTTAGCATGAAAAATAATTTTATTTTTATTTACCCATGGAGGAGTGGGAAACTGAGCTATTTGTTGCTCTGTTTTGTATAAAATATTAATATTTATAGTTCTGTAGCCTGGAATCCTATGACTTTTCTTACAGGTTACTGCAGTTTAAGGATATACATTATGAAAGAAAGCTTGTTTTAAAATAGAAAATTTTTAATTATGCTTTAATATTTATTTTCTTGTGAATTTTTAAGACAAGTAGTAATAATTAGGCATTGCATGTAAAATATTTCATTCATCTTTTGAATTAGAAACGTCTAAAAGCTGCAGAAGCTGAGAGTAAACTGAAACAAGTATATATCCCAACTTAGTAAGTAATTGAAATCTTTTACAATATTTGACCTGGTCTTAATTCTTCATTACAAAACATGTCATTTTGTTCATTTTCTGACAAATTTGAATTTCTTTGTGTATATTACTTTCTTTCCTACAAAGCACAAGCCCTGTATTTCTTTTATACCACTACATAGATTTTTTAGAAAGAAAAAGAAATGAGTGAGATAAACCACAAGCAGATTATCATGAAGCTAGAGATGAAGAGATAAAAAATGCCATGTATTGTACTTCTATCAGAACTTCAGGGAAAGTGTCAGAAAACTAATCTTTGGGACTAACTATATTATTTGAAGCAATTGTGTTTCATAAAGATAGCAATGTTTAATGCTTCTAACTATGGAAGGGATTTTCTTAAGATAATGTGTGCTGCTACTTTGAGATGTGTTGTTCCCATTATTTGGTTGAGGATTTTACACCATTGTCTTGGTTCTTACGGTAAATTAGAACCATGCATACTGTGAATGTTCAGTAAGGATTTAGTGGTTTTAGGTGTCTAGAGTTCTGTTATTACCCTTTGAGTTTATAAATCATTGCCATATCAAAATGAGTGCCAATTTTCTTTTTATTTGCTGTTTTAACTGAACGACTGTACCCATTTGTTGAGATTTTCAGGGTTTGACCATTCCTTTGTTCAGATGAAACTGGTTCATTCAGCACTCTGTGTGTAGTACTATCCTAGAATCTCTTGTGATTAAAATGAAATTATTACAAACTTTTGTGTGTTGTTTCAAGAGTTTTTTTTTTCATTCTTAGTTATTTTTTACATACCCTTTTGTTTACTGAATTCTTATGTATTGCATAGTACCTGTTTTTATATATAAAAGGGCTTATGGAGATGACTTGTGATTTTTCATAATTTTTACCTCAAGGCAGATAACTTTTTTGTTTTTTGTATGTGTGTAAAACAGGATTTCTATGTGTAGTTCAGACGCCTGGAACTCACTCTGGCCTCAAACTCATGGCAGTCCTCTTGGCCTCAGCCTCGAGTGCTGGCGTGTTCAGATAACTTGAACCATGCCCAGTTGAGATAACTTTTTAAATTTTTTAAAATGCTTAATTTACTTGGTCCATAATTATATGTCTTCTGCAGTGAGTTTTAATTTATTTTTATTATGTATTTTATTTGACTAATTCATAAAATAGGCACTCCCCAAAGAATGCACTGTTGGAACTCACATGTATTAGATTTTCAGAAATAAACAACAGCATTCTTGTAACTCCCTCCACTGAAGGGATAGTATATTTAACCATCTTCCCCCATACTAGGAATTGAACTCAGGACTTGCTTGCTAGGCAGATTCAGTGCTACTGCGCTGTATCCCCTGCCCCAATATCTGACCATTTGACCATATAACCCAAATAATTGTTTTTATTCTACTTTACATTGACTTTGGAGTCTTAATCTAAATCTACAGTCTGTGGGCCAAATCTAAGCTAGCACATTTATGTAAATAACGTTTTATTGGAACATAGACATACTTATTCATTTTCACATTATCCTAAGTCTGCTTTAAGAATACAGTGGCAGAATTAAGTGGTTACCGCAGAACTTATATTACCTCACAAAGCTTAAAATACTGAACTATCTGGCCCCTTACAAAAAGCTTTCTAATCTCTGATCTCAGTAATTATTTTTAGAGATCAAAACAGTTTCTGATCATACTTTTTAAAAGTTAGATTGTTCAAAAATACGCAGCTGAGTTACTGAATTGGATAAGGGTCTGAGGTCTTTGAATTTCCAAATTAACTCTGAAACAGAATGTTTAAAAAATATACTAAATTAGGGCCTGGGATTTAGCTCAGTGGTTCTGTTGCCTGCCTCACAAGCACAAGGACCGAGTTTCATCCTAGGTTCCCCCCACCAAAATAAAAAACCCAAACAAATATTTTTACAGCGCCTGCCTGGCAAGCGCAAGGTCCTGAGTTTGATCCCTGGTACAAAAAAATTATATATATATATCTATATCTATAGATGTAGATATAGAATCTATAGACACACACACACACTCTAAATTGGGCCGGGGATTTAGCTCAGTGGCACAGGGCAAGGTCCCGAGTTCAATCTCCAGTACCAAAAAGAAAGAAAAGAAAATATACACTAAATTATGAGTGATTTTCTTCTGTTAGTTTTTTGAGCATTCTGTTGAGTACTAGCATCATAAGGTTAATAAGATAGGACTTTTATCAAAAATGAAGTGTTGGGGCCGGGGATTTAGCTCAGTGGTTCCACCACCTGCCTCAAAAGTGTAAAGATCCGAGTTTGATCCCTTGTCCCCTCCCCCCAAAAAAAAGTGTTGGATATGATGGTAACATATACTATATATTCAATGTATTTGTCTTAAACTTAGGCAAAAATTGTGAGCTAGAGTTATGAAAGTGATCTTAAATAGCATATAATGTTTCAAACCTTGACAAAGATTTCTGAGGGAGAGCAACAAGAAAAGGGCCTTAGCCGAGTCTTGAATAGATCTAGTATTTATAGACCAAAATAACTAGAAAGAATAGCCAAGGGCCAGGGATTTAGCTCAGTGGTTCCACCACCTTCCTCAGAAGCGCAAGGACCTGAGTTTGATCCCTGGTACAAAAAAAAAAAGCCAAGTATGTATAATAGCATAGAAGCTGCGAGGAAGATGTTTTAAAGAAGGCGGTAAAGAGAGAGATGCTGATGTTAAATAGCTACATGGAGATGCTGATGGTCTTTAGTGGGCCCTGAAGACTGTCCCTTAGATCTAAACTTTACTTGGCTTTATAGAGATAGTTTTAAGTGATTCACAAGTATGCATGTCGTGACACACTTTTTCTTTTCGTTATTGTACTTGAAGTCATTAGTTTCCTGGGCATGCTGGCACACATTTATAATCCCACCTCCTTAGGTGGCTGAGGCAGGAAGATCACAAATTTAAGTTCAGCCTCAGCAGGTTAGCCTGACTGTCTTTAAAAAAAAAAAAAAAAAACGGCTGAGATTATAGTTCATTGATAGAACACTTGCCTTTTAATACCTGGGTTCAGTTGTGACTTTGGCAGGTTGGGGTGGGGTTGAGGGTCTGGTTTATTTGGTCAAATAACATTTTAGATTCATTTAAACACTGAATTTCTGTTTGCTTTTATTCTTTTTTCAGACTGATAAACTGAAAATTTATATTCACTGTTTCTTCAATACATATTTAGTTCTGTGTTTAAATATCAGTAGTAATCTTATGTCTGAGAAACTTCTAGCCAATTATTTGATTCCAAGCAGCAGCATTTCTGTATATGGTAGACTGTTCTGGCAATTCTGTGACTTGATCCAAGGAGCACTAAGCTAGATCCTCACCTACCCCTTTAAGTTTTGTGGGGCTTTTTTTTTTTTTTCATTTTTCCTTGAGACAGGGTCTTTCTAGGTTGCCCAGGCAGGCCTCAAACTTGTGAACCTTCTGCCTTGGCCTCCTGAGTGAGCTTCTGGGATTACAGACATGTACGTCCATGCCTTCCGTGTCTGGCATATAGTATTTTTAAAAATTTAAATAAATATTATGTATCCTTGGAAAACTTAGTTGCACAAGCCACTCTTTCATTTTGTACATTTTTAGTTTAAAGGTAAGAGAAAGATCTTCTGTCTGATTTAATATGTTTTTTTAAAAAACAATTTGTCATTCTGCAGTAGGGGTAGAGTGTTTGGCTAGCATTTGTGAATCCCTGGATTTGTTTCCTAGCACTGCAAAAAATAAAAAAACAAAAAAGGTATTTTTAAAATGCACAGCTGATACAAATTAGGGGTGTAAACAATCCCTCTCTTACAGAATAGGGACTTTAGTACATGTAAAAAGGTAAAGTGACTACTGGGGGTGAAGGTGGGGGTGTCTTTGCGAGTCATAGTAACAGTGCCGAAAGGCAATCTTAAGTAAGATGTTTGTTCTCAGGCCACACCAAGTTACACTCTAGGCTTTGACTGTTAAGTGAAATTGTAGAAAGGAAATCCTGAGCCAACTCTGTTGGGGTTCCAGGTGTCTTGATATTTGTGGTACCTCATTGCATGAGGAGCCATGGAAGGATGGACTATCATCTGCATACGGAGCATAGTCTCCATTTATTCACTCGGCATTCATTTCTAAATTTGTCAATTAATTTTGCTTATTTTCTTTTCAGAAAATAGACAAGAAAGGTCCTTTAGAAAGAAGCTCCTTGAACTTGTAGGTTTTTGTTTACTAGACACTGAGAAGACATATGCTGAGTAAACTATTTTTTGGGGTACCGTGGATTGAGCTTGCACTTGCAAGGCAGGCACTAGAACCACTGAGCTAAGTCTCTGGCCCTGGACTACATGTTTCTGAAGAATTGGTTATGTTCACTTAGTCTCTAGGAAATTTGCACATAAACTTCTGATAGATGCCTCCTTTTCCTTCCAAAAATGATTTTTAAAAGCAAAAGCTTAAATCTCGAAATTACTGATATTTCTAATTTTAAGTGCTATTTAACCTTCTTTGTAGAAATTCAGACAATTGTTGTCATAGGAGTAGGGCAGGTGGTCGGGAGCTCTGAAATGCTAACTTGGCTGCAGAGAGATGGGCCCTGTGGCACCCACACATGTGTTGATGCCACTCCCTCCCGAGAAGGCCAGGAGGCAGCAGCAGGAATGGAGCAGTGTCTTGATTTCTGCAGTCACACATTGCTTTCTTTAGCTCAAGTTATTTGAGTTATCCAAACTGTAATTTTCCCAGAATTTATGATGAGTGGTAAAACCTTAATAACTTGCATCTTTCAGAAGCAGCTGAGGATGGTCTAAGGATTAAAGTGCCTTTGGATACACAAGAGATGCGGCTTTTATTGGGACAGGGTCAGGCACAAGAGGCTGTTTGTTACATAGCCTTGTTTTATAAACATGAGTGGGGTTCATTTTAACAACTTGTTTTTACCAGTTTATTTCTGTTTAGTTAAGGTAAATTAGTAAGGAGATACTGAGCTTTTTGCCTGGTTATACAAATAATCTTTACCGCCTCACTTTACATTTCATTGAAAGCAGCAAACCAAACCCCAACCAAATATCCACCAGCAATGGCAAGCCTGGCACTGTGAATGGAGCTGTGGGGAGCACGTTCCAGCCCCAGAATCCCCTCTTAGGTCGAGCCTGTGAGAGCTGCTATGGTAAGTTTGCTTCAACAGGGTTGCCTTTTCCCTCAGAGGCCTGTCTTGGGCTAAGTGCAGGGACCGGTCCTACACTGTGGGGTGGGATGGTGAAGAGCTTCTGGGAACTGTGTGGTTTGTACAGCACAGAGGCTGGGCAGTCTCTCTTTGGAGTGAGGAGATGCTCATCCCTGCTTCTTCCAGGAACAAAGACCTTTGAGTATCACTCTGTAGATGCTGGGGAGAGGCGTTGAGTTGCCTTTGATTGCTTCTTGGGGCTCCATGGTTGTTGCTGAGTGTTTGATGGCAGTGTTTGCTAAACTGTGTGCAGAATTGTACTGTATTAGCTTTGCCCAATCCATGGTCACTTGATATATATTAAATCCCTATTTGGAGTTTCTCTTGGTCCTTTGACAAAGGTTCCCCAAATTCTGCAGTAAAGGCCTGCATGTGAATAAACTGCTATTTATAATCCTCAGAACACCAGTTTGGGAGATGCTGCTCTATGATACTTCCTTTGGCCTCAGGGCACATTTTTATTTATCTCTGCTGGCAATATTGTGTTATGTGTGCCCTGGCTGGTATGTGGGGATTAAAAAAATGAAATGAAGCAAAGTAAAATGTCTCAAGCAACAGTATAATCCCCTAATAGGGCATTAGTGGCATCATATACATTTCCTTCCTTCCAATCAGGGTGCCTTGGGATGGGAGAAAGAAGGCACCTAGTGTTTACTGAGTCTTCTGTGCTAGTCTGGCTTTCAGCAGCTTTCTGGAGGTAGATGTAGCCTACTTACTGCCCTAGGGATGCCCTGCTCTATATCCACACCAGGCATCAACACTAGAAAAGGCTTTTAAAACCAAATCACATAATTCTCTATCAGTGCTCAGGAATGTGTGAGGCAGACACATCGCTAACTTTGTAGAAATGGAGCATCGGGATGTGTCTAGCCATTTTCTGCAGCATTGGAGCACCAAGGAAAACTAGGTCCTTTTGGTGAAAACTTTGCATGAATAGCATTGTAAGGATCTTTGAGTTGTTAATTTTGGATTTTGAAGTTCATCTATATTTGAATGAAAATAACAAGCCTCCAAACAAATTGTAGTAGTTTAATAATTTCTGATAGGATCTTGTTGTGGTCTGAGGCTGATCGTGTATTCCTCGGCTCAAGCCATCCTCCTTCCTCATTCATCCCCCTAAAGTAGTTTGGACTACATGTGTGGACCACCACATCAAATAACCTGTCCTTTTTTACTTTCAGAACCATTCCTATTTATATGTATTCCTTCCAATAATTATCATTTTATATGTATACAATGCTTTTAATTTCATGGTTTTGATTCTGGAGTTGTTAAATTTCCATCATTCCTTTTTTTTTTTTTTGGTACCCTGAATTCAACTCAGGGCCCTGCTCTGGCCAGGCAGGCACAGCACCACTGAGCTACATCTCTGGCCCCATCATGAAATATTTTATTATAACACATAAAAAACTTTATGATAGAATTTGTTTTTTGTCAAATGATGTTCATTTTTAAAGTGACGTTATTATTAGTGAAACTATATTTAGAATGCACAAATAGATCATAGCTTATTATTCAGGATGAAAATTTGTCTTTAAAAATATCCTTTAGGCTGGGTGTGGTGGTGCACACCTGTAATCCCTGCACTCAGGAGGCTGAGGCAAGAGGATCACAAAGAGTTTGAGGCCAGCCTGGACTACACAGTGAGATCTTGTCTCAAAAAATGTAAAATCATTTTGACTTGTTTTAAATAATAAGAAAGGTTCTTTAGGTTTCTATTTATAAGAAAATCTCCCAAAATAACAATGAGTGCATGTATTATTACCAAGAAACTAAAAGACATTAAATGTAGTGGTCACTGTATTTTCTCAATCTTTTTAGGGCGAGGAGCTATGGGGCCTTGCACACATGCTGAGTCCACATGCTGTGACTGAACAGTTGATGTTTCCTGTTCCTTCCTGTCTCCCTCTGCTCTCCCTCTCCTCTTTCCTGACCCCTTGCCTCTGTCTCTCACACATGCTAGGCAAGGGCTCTACCACTGAGCCATACCCTGGCCCCTGTATTTTTTTTCTCTTATGGACATTGGTTTGTGAAGTGTTAGTTGATACCTTCAGTGTACTGTTTGAATGTTTGGATCTGGTGAGAGTAAATTACACATCAGAGGAAAACTTCAAGGCAGTTGCCGTTAGAATGGTTTTTATGTACTTCATTAACTTAATGTTTTAATTTAGTACCAGTGTTTTCTATCTTAAACTTCAGATCTTCAGTGGGTGTTTTTTGTGTTATGTGGCAGGGATTTAAATTGCAAAGGAGACCAAATACAGGCTTACAGTGTTCAGCCAAGCAATAAATCAGCTGCATTTTGGGCCTTAAAATGTATTGTGGTATCAGCTGCACATGCTCACTTGATACAGATTTATAGTAGTGAAAGACATTCTGGTATAGGAGGAAATACTATATATATATGTATTTATATTTGAGGTTGTTTTTTTTTTTTTTTTTTTTTTTTTTTTTTTTTTTTGTCCTGGGGATTGAACTCGGGTCCTTGTGCTTACAGAACAGGCATGGGAACTACTGAGCTAAATCCCCAGCCCTAAAATATTTTATCTGTTGATTAAAATAAAAGAATGGCAACCAGATAACTGTTTGTATTAGATTCCTGGTTTTATCACTGGAGCCCACTCTGAGTACCTTAAATAAGCCCTGGGGTGCTTTCTGAGCTTGGCTTGGGAACTTGAATTGAGATTTTAAATACTACTGGTGATCACAATAATTAGCCTGGCGTAGTGGCACATGCCTGGTTATCCCAGCAGGAGGCTGAGGCAGGAGGATTGTCATTGAGTTCAAGACCAGCCCAGGCTACATAGTGAGACCCTGTCCCACTCCCCTCATTCATAATAATACCTGAAAACTTAATTCCAGATACGTAAAGCATTTTTAAAGTACAAAACGCCCTAAGCAGAACAATGTAAAAGATACTTTACCTAATAGCCTCTGTTAGATGCCACAGGCATTTGATACATAGTAGAAATCAGTGCTTTAATGGATTCTGAGTATTGGAAAATTCATATATATGTTGTACTTTCATGTTTGAATTCCAAACTGGGGAAAGAAAAGTTAACATTGTAAGCTAAGTAGCTTTTGGATATTTTTGAGCTATTAGACTGTATTTCTATTGACAAAAATTCATAGTATCTTTTTTCCCCCCCTCCATCTTTAGCAACACAATCTCACCAGTGGTATTCTTGGGGCCCACCTAACATGCAGTGTAGATTGTGTGCAACTTGTTGGCTGTATTGGAAAAAGTACGGAGGCCTAAAAATGCCCACCCAGTCAGAAGAGGAAAAGTTATCTCCCAGCCAATCATCAGAGGTATATGAAATAGTATTCAGTGCTAGAAATGTGTCATTGTTTTCAATAGTTGGCTCGTTCCTTGGAAAGAGAAATACAGGATAGGATAATTTTAAAATGAACAGGGCTATTTTTATAGCTAAACGCAGTGGTACATTATTCAGGGTGGGTGTGGAGAGAGAAACAAGGAGAAATCCATTTATTATTCAGGTATTCAAAATACTGATCTTGTGAGATTGCTCAGACAAAAGAATAATGTGTGTGGGTGGCATCAGCATAAGCAGAGAGCTTACAAATTGTTTTAATTGCTTTGGAAAACAATTTGTAACCTTTAGATACTGTTGAAAACATCTTATTACTTAAAGTCATAAACACAAATCAAACATTTTCTTTGTCTCTGGCTGTTTTGGAGGGTTAAAAGAAGGTATTGGACTCAATCTTGAGGAGAGCAATGGTTGAAATGTGATTTTGGTAAAATCCTTACAGATTGAGGATGCCAAGCGCCTATGTTCACCAGAGGCAGACTCTTCTCTTTCTGTCCTAATGTGAACTCAGGAGTCCTTAATAATAAAAATCCAGCCCGCTTGTAAGCTCTTACTATTATGTATGGGATTTTGGATTCTTGTATTACATTCCCACCCAGTTCCCTTCTATTCTCACATTTCTCCCAAAAGCGCACACTTTTTAAATATTTTTTAGAGATAGGGTCCTAGGTTATAGATGCCTCTGTGAATGATTTAAAAATTAGACTTTTCTTTGAATATGATGTAAATGGTAGTATGTTTGGACCAGTTCTCTTCTGTAAATGTTTGTTGGTTTCTGATTCTGCAGGATGCCCGAGTTAGAAGTCATCTGTCCCGGCAGGCCATGCAGGGAATGCCAGTCCGAAACACTGGGAGCCCAAAGTCTGCAGTGAAGACCCGCCAAGCTTTCTTCCTCCACACAACATATTTCACAAAATTTGCTCGTCAGGTCTGCAAAAATACCCTTCGATTGCGGCAGGCAGCAAGACGTCCGTTTGTTGCTATTAATTATGCTGCCATTAGGGCAGAATGTAAGACGTTTTTAAATTCTTAATCTTACATGTTGTGCTTTTCTGACCATTTTCTTTCTTTCCCTCTCTATCTCCTTTTTGTTTGTTTGTTTGCAATAAACATAAGTTCTTGTGTACAGCCTTTTATTTGTTTTTTTTTTTAAACATTGTTTTTGTCTGCTGCCATTTGTATCATGCCAGGGGGAACGGGCATTTAAATCTCTGAGAGTAGTGCTCAGCAGAGGAGGAGGGAGGCGAACCTGTCCAGCGGGGTTTTGTGGTGGCATTGCCAAAAGAGCTCTTACTGAAGCACTTTAACCTGTGAGGCGGTGTCACAGAATAACCCCCAAGGATGGCGTTACAGTGAAACTCCTTCACTGAGACAGCGTGTCCAGTCTAGCATGGATTCATCAGGTCTAAATAAAATTTACTAATTCATGCTCATTAGAAAGCGGATGTCTTTGTAAACTAATTTTCCCATGAAACCTTTACAATCATACAACATTATGGAAATTCACAGGGCTTCATAATAAATGCTGTATTTATTAGAAGGCTTAACATTATAAATAAATTGTAAAATCACTTTTGGGTGAATTTTCCGAAAGTGCATTTTTAGTTTTTTTAAGATAGCATCTAAATTTGTGGTTGAGTAGTCTGTTCAATTTGGTTTCCATTTCATAATCATGTATTATCATATAACATGTACATAACTCATTACTCTTGTTTCCAACACATTCAGTCTTGCTTATGTTTTCTGTTTTTGGTAGAACAAAGGTCATGTGTACCAAGGAACTGTGGATCATTCTGTCATTGATGTGTATCTGGAAATGTGCATAGAATTGTTGCTGTGTTAGCTCTGGAGTGGTGGTCCTGGCTAGCAGAGCCACACGACCGTCCCCTGAGGAGTAAGATAACTTGCTGTCTAACTCAGGAAACCTTAAATGGATTCAGAACTTTATGTGTGATATAAGAAATTATATTATGAGATTTTCCACTTTGCTTTAAAGAGAATATCCATGAGAGGAATGATTACTAAAAAAATCATTTTTTGTTTCTGGAGATAATTTTCCACAGAAAATTGAAAGTTGAAAAGCTTTAAAATTTACTGGTAAAAGCTGTGTAAGAATAAAATTCTGTTGTAAAGAGAGTAAAAATTGGCAGTAATGTCAGTGTCTTATGAGGGGCAAGGAGCCACATTATATTCATGTCTGAGAGTTTAGGCTTATCCTTAGGTTCTGACCTAGTATTTCTGAGTTAACGGACTTATGTTGCTACTTTCTTATCCATTTTAAGCAACTGGAAAATAAATTATTGGTCTAAACAGTTTAGCTGGTTTGAAACATAACATTTACATATAATTTCTTAGGACAATTAGAACATGAGAAAGTGATTGCAGTTCTTCCATTAAATTTGAAGACCCAGTATCATCCTTCTTTCTGTGATGGAAAAGAAACTTCTACCAACCTATTTGGCTACTGAGGAAGCTGCCTTTCCCTTGGCTCTTGTTTTGATTTTCATTTAATTTGCACATCATCTTTAGTCTTGAATGAAGTATGTTTTTCTGTCACATTTAGTTTTTTCTCCCTTTTGAAAGGCCGTGCTGCTAAAAAGGGGATGTGTGACTAAATTACCTGTGTTTGCTGTAAGCTTATAGAAAATAATGAAGGCATTTGTTGGAATGAGATTCAAAGAGGATAACTTCTGTTTTATTTGTATTTACTTCACTGGTAATGAGGTTCACATAGAATAATTTTTAAATTACAGTGTTTGAGCAGCCATCCACTCAGTTACTTTTGTTTTCACCCAGTCAGCTAAGGAACTTTTTCCTACCATGGAATTAATTCTTGCATCATTTGTCCCTTCTTATATGTAGCTTGTAAAACCTCCGCAGCAGATTCTTTAATATTACCTTGTTATTAAGATTAGTTGTTAATGACCTATGTCTATAGGCAGCTGAGTCTGTAGTATCCTGGAAGTGTTTTTGAATAGGTATACATTTTCCAGTAAGCTTTCCCTAGTTTCTCAAAGGCAATGTTTACCCTCCTCACCACATGAAAAAACTTGAATCATTATAATGCAGTGTGAGGGTACTTTCAGATCAGGTGAAAGTTTACAATTCTACAGTATTGATAGACTAAAAGATTAATTGATTATTATATTGAGAAAAGAAAATTGTTAACTCTGTGAGCTTGAGACTTTTTTTTTCATACCAGGAATCAAACTGGGAACCTTGCACTTCTGAGGCAGGTGGCAGCACCAGTGAGCTAAATCCCCAGCCCGCTTGAGACTTTTAAAAATAAGTACTATAGAAATTGACCCCTTTCATGGTTCTACCCTTGGTGGCAACATCACAAGCAGTGACAGCCAGAGTTTATGGGTTCATAGACTGGAAAGAAAAGCAGCAAGCTGAGAAAAACTCAACTAGCCTAGGGAAAGCATGATCACAGCTCAGTACTTGATTTATGAGGTAATCTCTTCTTAGAGGAAAAATTTTTGGTTGGTTGCAGAGTTCTCTGTTTTCATTAAGAAATGTATACTAACATTTAATAATAGTACAAAGGGTAATCTTCATAAGAAATAATGTCTGTAAAGGCCAGGTGTGGTGGCACACGCCTGTAATTCCAGCACTCAAGAGGCTGAGGCAGGAGGGTCACTGTGAGTTCGAGACCAGCCTGGGCTACATAGTGAGTTCCAGGTCAGTCTCGGCTACATAGCGAGACCCTGTCTCAAAAAAAAAGTCTGTTGGAAGGGAAACTAAGGAAAGGAGGTGGAAAGAAGATATACCAATGGAAGGGAGATTGCTTGATACTTTTGAACTTTCTCAATTTGGACTATGAAAATGCTTGCTATTAAAGAAGTAATTTGCAACTGAAGTGGTGGCACACGCCTGTAATCCCAGCATTTGGGAAGCTGAGGCAGGAGGCATGCCACAGTTTGAGGCCAGCCTGAATTACATAGCAAGACATCTCAAAAACAAAAAAACTACCATCATTTAAGAATATGCATGAGAAAAACAATGCATGAGTTATATTTACGAAAGTGATTTTTAAATCTTAATATTTCCAAATACCTACTTAATAGTATACCTTTATGAATGAATATGTAAGTCTGCCAAAATATCCTAGCCAGTTCTACCATGCAGATTATGCTGGTAGGGCTGGGTAAATCCCCAGCTCAGTGGCGTCATGCCTGCCTTGCTCCTGAGTTCAATCCCTAGTACCAGGGGAAAAAAAAAAAAATTGGCTGGTAAACCAAAATCCAAGATAGCATAAAGAAAATTATTATATCCTCAATAGGATTTGTGCCCCAACAGCACAGCTTGTAAAACCATCATGTTTACATCCTCCCCCCCAGTAAAAAGCTGCAGTGTGGTGATGGTGCAACCAGATATTTCCTGCAGGTACCAGATGATTTTGTCCAAAATATACAGAATTACCCACACATCTGATCACAGGACGATTGCTTTTTGAGATTCAGGCTCTTCAGACAAATTAAAACTCCACAAATGAAACCACATTCCCCAGAACATATGTCCGGTGATTTCCCTGTCACTTGGGGTTGCTTGTGTAGATAATCAAGTGATTCTGAGTTAACCCCAGCCTTGCATGGCCAGCTGTGTTTCTCATGACAGTTTGCGTGTGTGATTTTTGAGGTAGGGTCACACTATGTAGTTTAGACTGGCCTTGAACTCAGTATATATCCCAGACTAGCCTAAAACTTGGAACAGTCCTGTCTCCACCTTCCAGTTTGGGGGATTACAGGTTTGTGCCACCATGCCTGCTCCTCAAGGTGACATTTTTTGAGAGTCGGTATTTGAAGATGTGAATTCAGCTTTAGAAGTATTCTAAAAGCTCGTTTGTGGGGAATTGGTTAGATGTCAATTTTTCTAATCACTTCTCAGCAAAAGTTACTGTTAGTAATTGTATAGCTTTTCTGAAATTCTAATGTTCAAAACATGAAGAGAGAACAGTTTTGGTTTGCTTATTCCTAGTTTTTAGTGGCCACCATTCTCTCCGTTACATAGAGATTTGTGTTACATAGAATGGCGGGTTTTGTTGTGGCAATATATTTTTTCAAATGGATGCCTAAATTTTTTTGAATTTATAAAAGTGGTTACAAATTATATCGTTCATTCCTAACTTACCCTTTTTAGAGGTAATCATTATAATTTTTGGTAATTCTCACTTTTGGTAGCTTTGACTCATTGTCATCATTTTAAGTATCCAGAGGTATTCTAGGGATCTCTAAGAATCCATGTAAGTGTATTAGTTTTTATTTTATGTTATTATGTTTTTCCCCAGTTCTGGGGATTGAACTCAGGACCTTATGCTTGTCAGGCAGGCATGGACCACTGAATTAAATATCTGTGCCTTCTTTGTTTATATATAGATGTTACAGTCTCACTGTTCTACACCTATTTTTTATTTAATGCTAGGACATTGAAAGTTAATTCTTTTTTGAGGGGTTGGGCTGAACAGTAATTTATTGTACCACAATTTAACCAGTTCTCTACTTTTTTTTTGCTATGTCTAATATCTATTATAATGTTGCATGCAGTATCCTGATATGGGTATCATTTCATCCTAATACTTAAAATTGGAATCTTGGGGCACTGCAGGTGTAGCTCAGTGATAAAACCTCTAATTAGCATGTTCTTGAGGCCTAGGAATCCGTCCTCAACACCAAAACAAAGCAAACAACAGTTTTATAAGGTAGATCCCTAAATATGAAAGCCTGGTAGAACATACATTTTGAAATTTGATGGGCATTGCACAGTTGCCCTCAGAAAACCCAGAGTTTATGATTTCACCAACATCCACAGATCCCGAATCTCTCGAATCATGCCAGCAAGGCCTTGACTAATTGATGGGGGGAGATATACCATACATTAGCTTGCATTTTCCACCACCCCCACACACCAGGGATCGCACTCGGGACTGCATTTTCCAGTCAGCCATGGGACCACTGAGGTACATCTCCAACCCTGTTTCACATTTCTAATGACATAAAAATCACTCCATGTCTTTGAAAGCCATTTGTATTTCCTTTTTTATCAGCTGTTTTATGCCATGATCTATTTTCTATTAGAAGTCTTCTTGACTTGTGGGAAATTCTTATAGCTTAACAAAGTTAGCTCTTGATAAGATATGTGATGCAAACATCTCCTGCGTTTTGTCTTTGATTTTGTTTATATTTGCTAAACTTTTAAAAAACATTATTTGTAAAAATTGTTTTTCCAGGCATGGTGACACACGCCTGAAATCCCAGTACTTGGGAATCTTAGGCAGGAGAGTTGCCACAAGTTCGAGGCTAGCCTGGGCTGCTTAGTGAGACCCTGTCTCAAAATAAAAAAGCCCAGCCCAGTGTGGTGGTGGCACATGCCTGTAATCCCAGCTCTCAGGACGCTAAGTCCAGAGGATCATCATGAGTTCAAGAGCAGCCTGGTGTACATAGTGAATTCAGGGTCAGCCTGAACTACAAAGGGAGATCCTGCCTCAAACAAAACAAAAAATTGTTTTATAATACCTGGGCTTTGTGTCTTGCTAAGAAATAACTACAGGTCTGGGGATTTGGCTAAGTGGTGCCACCAGCCTCACAAGCGGCGGTCCTGAGTTAGATCCCTGGTACCAAAAAAAACCAAAAAACAAGTGGTAACTAAACAGTTCTATAAGCTAATCCTATCAGTGGTTTTGACAGTGATACTGAAAGCTGATGTAGAAGTTTTTGTGAATTTTCACTGTTTATATAATTGCAGCTTTTCTATCTCACTTCCTCTGCCCCATTGTTTTCAAAACATTGCAGAGAAATGGCCATTATTGCAATAAAAGTGAAAGTGTTCTTCTGTGTCTACCTCAAGGAAACGTCATTCTGTAGGAAGCTAAAGAATAGGGCCTTCTGCCCAGTCCAGTGATTTGAGATGCAGGTGTTTTCCACCTCTGGGCACACTCCTTGGTTTTTGGGTATTTCTCAGATTGCTTTCTCATCTGTGCGCTTTTTTTTTTGGTACCGGGGATTGAACTCGGGTCTTTCCGCTTGCAAGGCAGGCCCCCGAACCACTGAGCTAACTCCCCGGCCTATCTGTGCACTTTTAATGCCTTTCTTTTTAAATAGAAATGGATGAGTAATATGGAAGGAAGGACTGACTGGACTGGCTGACAGGTGGCACCGAGTTTGGTCTTGAATAGGACCAGGATCATTGCACTGTGCACTAACTCTATTCATGGTCATTCCCTAGGGGCAGAATGGATTCTTCCTACTAAATACTGTACCTGCCATTTTTTTTTTAAATGTTCAACTGACTAGATCATCTTAGCACCTTTCACTCTGATTTCTTGTTTTTCCTTTTTTTTAAAAAAAAATTTCAGTACCAGGGATCCCACTCAGGACCTTGTGCTTGTGAGGCAGGTGCAGTGCCACTGAGCTAAATACCCAGCCCTTCATTCTGATTTCTTTCTGGGACTGATAATTCTTGCTACCAACTATATTTGATGATGATGATGATGATGATGATGATGATAATTCTTGCTACCAACTATATTTGATGATGATGATGATGATGATGATGACGACGACGACGACGATGATGTTTTTGGAGCCAGGGATGGAACTCTGGTCCTCGGGCCGGGGATTTAGCTCAGCTGTTCGGTGGCCTGCCTTGGCAAGCGCAAGGACCCGAGTACTAATCCCCTGTACCAAAAAAACAACAATAAAAACAATTGAACTCGGGTCCTTGCACTTGTGAGGCAGGTCGTGGAGCCACTGAGCTAAATCCCTGGCCCATTCTTAAAAAATTTTTTTTAACCAACTACTTTATTTATTTATTTAATTTATTTTTTTGTGGTACTGGGGATCGAACTCAGATCCTTGCCCTTGCGAGGCAGGCCACCGAACCGCTGAGCTAAATTCCCGGCCCTTAACCAACTACTTTGTAATGAATATTACTAAATTACGAATCCTTGTAAAGATCTCTGATCTCTATCAGACCCTGTAATATGAATTTTCACTTGGAACATCATATAATTAATCCTACTTGTTTAATGAGAAAAGTAAATTAGTATATGTTTAAATGAAATATCTTTGGTTATTGTGTCAATGACCCCTTTGAAGGGTATGTTGATTCTTGTCAAAGGGATAGTATATGTCAGTGTCCATCAGTTGCAGCCATACTGGCAGCTTTCCTTTGGGCCTTAGAGACTGGAATAAAGATCATAGTTAATCTTACGACTAGTAAAACAGCATTGCTCTTGGTCCTAGATAACTGAGGAAATAACCGATATGATTCATTCAAAGCTTTTATTAATAGAGAAGGATGCTTTCTCCTTTTCCCAAATAACCTGAATTTTCAGTGAAGTAGTGATGCTGGCAAGGAATTATGTAGTGTTAATGTTTGGTCCTTGCAGGGTTAGAGGCACTTCCTGATGTTTATTAGATTATACCTCTGAAATATCTTGATATTTCTCCCTGTATCTTTATTGTTACTCAGCAACAGGTAAAGAGCTCCTTAGCGTCATAATTTATTTTTTCCCCAAAAGGAGTCAATTGAATAGGGAAAGCAGTTGGGTCATTTATAATTGTTGGTGGTTACATGATAATTCGCTAGAGCTTGGGGAACATACTCAGATTCCTGGTGTCCGAGGCACTCCACAGTATATCTAATTTTAGTGTTTTTGAAAAGTGCTATTTTCACACCTGTTTATGGCTTCTAGGAAAACGTCTCCCTGGAGAAAGGGGTGGAGCTCATGACAAAGTGAATTTTTTACTTTAAATGCCTGAGGTTCCAGATTGAATTGCACATTTTAGCACTAATAGTGCACTGAATTCTTATGGATGTCAAAGGATAGTTCTTTATTCCTAGGAAAGTGAACTCGCAAAAGGAAAAATTCTCTAGTGGAATCAGGAAATCTGTGTGACATTCTCTTGTCGAATATTTGAAGATGAGGAAAAGGCATAAACATAGGATGATACAAACTAAAGCTACTCTGTTAAACTTTATAATATTTCAATTTTTCAAAAAGTTTCAATGCACATTTTGTTTTTTGTCTTTCAACTGTTTTTATATCAACTTTTATTATGAGAAACGTGCATGTTTCATATCTACTCTTCCTCATGACAGTTAATTTAAAACACTTCTATGCTTTGTCTTCATCTGAAAGGTCATGATAAGGAATGAGGTGTGTGATGAAAACTTTTAAGAGCTAATATCCATCCTCACAGTATCTTACTGTTCTAACAGATGAAATACACTTCATTCAGGTAGCCATTTAAATTTAAGCACAAATGAAATTATAGTAGGACATGAGGGGTAGAGAAACTGTGATAAAACCAAATGGTCATAGGGGCTGTGGGTGTAGCCTCAGCGGCGCTGCACCTGCCTGGCAAGTGCAAGGTCCTGAGTTCGATTTCGGAAACGCAAAACAACAAACAAATGGCCATCTTATTAATCTTGTCAGGCTCTTATCTAATAGAATTGAGTTTTGCCAAGACAAGTGAAGACTTGTCACTCCATCTAAGGGATGGCTGAGTGTGTTGCTTTTGTCAGCTGTCATTATTTCAAAGCAGATGAGTTGTGTGTTAGGACAGGTTCGCTTTGTGCTATGGATATTTTTCTGCTGTACAGTGGAAGTGCTGTGACTAGAACAGAAGCATACCTCCATCACCTCACGTAGGCACACACTGAGAAAGCTGTGCATGTGATGGGTATTAGGAGCATTCACACAGGCTTTACAGTGAGTGTTCTAATGTAAATCCATCATTCAGTATTGAGATCCAGAACCAGAAACAATTTTCCTAAACCCACTGGTAAATCATGCAGGAATATAGCAGATACTCTGCACTGTTTTCCACTTGCACCTCTTATTTTTGTGGTGTGGGTAGTATAGGTAGTGAAACACGCCTTATTGGTTATCTCTCTGTTTCTTTCTCTCCTCAGATGCAGACAGACATGCCGAACTATCTGGAAGTCCACTGAAAGGCAAAAGCACTAGGAAGCCTTTGGCATATATCATTGGGTATTTAGGTGGGTATTTTGTAATGGTGGAAAAGAAAAAATAATTTCTACATGTTACACTCAGCCATTTCAAGTGCATATCTAAACTAAATTCAAGCCATTCAGATGGGTGAAATTGAATATTGCTGTATGCATAGTTTATTTTGGTTTAGAAACTTTATTAGTGGGCCGGGGATTTAGCTCAGTGGTTCTGCCACCAGACTTGCAAGCACAAGGACCCAAATTCAATCCCCGGTACCCCCCCAAAAAAAAAACCACACGCAAAAAAAAAACTTTATTAGCAACACAATTATGGTTATATTTACTTTTTGCAAAACAATAGCATAAAAATTATTTTCATGGAAATAGATTAAGCAAAAGGGGAAATAAATTCATTATAGGGTAAGCTTAATATTGTGGGGGTGCCAGGGATTGAACTTGGGTCCTTGTGCTTGCAGGCAGGTGCTGGAATCACTGAGCTAAATCCCCGGCCCAAGCTTAATATTTTTATTTGGATCTTTCTACTGTCATATCTTAGCACTTGACTGCTTTGAAACTCATCAAATTTGGTACTTGACACATTTTGATGCAAAAATTTGTTCTTATACTCATCCTTTGTTTGGTATTCAACCTGCAAGTTAGAGTGGTTGGTGTTGATTGCCTTGTGACTCACTACCCTTTCCAGTCAAAACAGTTTGGTTTGGTACTGGTTGCTTTTGGTATTTATTGTGCCTCTCAGAACTAATTAACAATGAGTATGGAGGTATCACTGTATCTCTAATTTATTTCACACCTTTAAATATAGGATTGCTTTACTTTATTTGTTTTTTGGGAGGTTTTTTGTACCAGGGATTGAACTCAGGACCATGAGCTTGCCAGGCAGGTGTGGTGCCACTGAGCTACATCCCTGGCCTTTGTTTTGTGTTTTGATATAGACTTGCTCTGTAATTCAGGCTCACCTTGAACTCACTCTGTAGCTCAGGGTGGCTCAAACTCATGGTGATCCTTCACCTTCCTAAGTGCTGGGATTACAGGTGTGCACCAGCACATCAGCTTTACATTTTTCTTAGGAAAATAATAAATCAAATTGATCTGTAGCCTGCATTTTCAAAATACTGAACAGCTGGGTGTAAAGCACAGTGGTGAAGCGCTTACCTACCATGTGCAAGACACTGGATATGAACCCTCATACCCCCACCCCTCAAAGTTACAGTTTCAGTGTGCCAGTTAAGGTTTACTTTGAAAGGGAAGCATTTGTATTTCTTCCTGGTTTTTATTAAGCCACCTAAATGAGAAATCTCCAAAGATTATGGCTCTTTCCACATGTGGAAATATCACAATTAGGAATACTTTAAAATAGGAATATTAAAATATTAAGTGGTAACTTTAAAAAGCTTTAAGATGAATAGGTTATTTTGTTTTTGATACCTAGGATCGAACCCAGGACCTTGCACTTGAGTCAAGTGCAGTGCCGCTGAGCTAAATCCAAAAATGAATAGTTTATAAAACAATGGGTCATCCTACACTAGAAGCAAGAATGGCATGTTTTTGTGCTTCTAATATTTCTCTTTCACTCTCTTCATAAAAGTGAAATTTAAACTCAGAGTTTCATTAACCTTATTGTTCTGTCAGGAAGTTGTACTTATGAAGTATTCAGAATTTAGACATCCAGACTTTTAAAAATCAGAGTGGAACCTTTGAACTTGGTATATTATCTGGTCTTCATCAACATGTCCCTGTACTCAGAAGCTCATAGTTCCATCTTTAATGTTACTCTGCCACTTTTTTGTTTTATTTCTCAAGGATTTAAGAATTGCTTTGATATTCTCCCAAAATACCAAACAGTTAAGCCAGGTGTGGTGGCACAGGCCTGTAATCCCAGCACTTGGGAGGCTGAGGCAGGAGGATCGCTGTGAGTTGGAGATCAGCCTGGGCTACATAGTGAGTTCCAGGTCAGTCTCAACTATGTAGTGAGACCCTGTCTCAAAAAAATAAAACAAAACAAAATAAATAATAAATAAATAAAAAATACCAAACAGTTTACAGGCATGGCTGAAGTAGTGGTGATAATGCCCTTAACAGTGCTGTCTGTATTCCCCACCTTGCAAGGGAATATACCTGATCGTAAAATTATAGAATATAACATTATGTTCTAGTCAGCTTTTCCATAGGCATTGTGTGTTTCTCCTGTGGGAAAATTGGTTTCTGTCCCTACCAGATAAGCCCTGAATTGTTCTGCTCTTGGCTGAACCTCATCCTTACATAACATATTTCTGAGTATTAATATGTTCAAGATACTTATAGTACATCATTTGAGGAACACCAAGATGAGTATGACCTTGCCCTTCAAAATCTTGGTGAAAGTACATGGTAAGAACAATAAAGCAAAAGATGCTATAAAAAAAATCAAGTTTTAATATGCATTGAGAATTTGGAGGAAGGAGTGTGCATGTGCGTGTGTGTGTGTGTGTGTGTGTGTGTGTGTGTGTGTGTTGCTGAGGATCAAATATAGGGCCTCATCCAGGACAGGCAAGGGCTCTACCACTGAGCTATATCCCCAGCCCTTGGGGAAGTTGTTTCTGATGAGTGTTAGTGTAGCCTGCTTGAAGAGAGTAATAGTTGATCTCAACCTTGAAAGTTAGGTAAGATTCGAATGGATTGAAAAATAGGAAAAAAGTATTCTTTCATGAAGCCAAGAGTACTAGATGGATAAAGGCTTCAATAAGTCTAGAAACCTGAAAAGTTTAGGGAAGTACATTGCCTGGTCAAGATGGAGTACAGAGGATGGAAATTATAATGAAAAATGAGACTGGCAAACTTTCAGTGCCATGTTGAAAAAAAACCACTATTTGGGGAGTAGTATTAAGCCATTCCTAAATTTTGACAAGTGTAAGATTTTTTTTTTTTAAGCACAAGATTTTGACCAGACCAAGATGTAAAAACTGTAACAATTCAAATGGTTCTTTCTGAATTTCAGTAAATCAGGCCACTTTGGCTCTAACCTTGGGTGGGAGGTGGGACAAACTGGCTTTGCACATAGTTGGCAAGCAGGTTCAGCTTTGGAGAAAAGGTATTGGTAACAGGCTGTGGTTCTTAAATTGAAGTCCTACAATATTGCAGTTTCTGTCCATCTACCAAAAATCATAATTCTGGGCTATGTGGCTCACAACAAATATACTTCTCTTAATCGCACACACCACCTACATTTCACTTTTTGTCTATATGTCTTTAATCAAAACATTTCACCTATTATTTGACTATTGTATTTGGAATTTGGTTTCAGATTTCATTGTATTTGGTTTGGAATTTGGTTTCAGATTTCACGTATTATAAAAATTCTGGAGCCGGGTGTGGTATGGCACATGCCTGTAATCCCAGCACTCGGGAGGCTGAGGCGGGAGGATTGCTGTGAGTTTGAGACCAGCCTGGGCTACATAGTGAGTTCCAGGTCAATCTCAACTACATAGTGAGACCCTGTCTCCGAAAAAAAAAAAAAAAAAAAAAAAAAAAAAAAAAAAAAAAGTCTGGGCTGGGAGTGTTTGGTGTTTGACCGTGGTCCCACACCTTGGTGGCAGAGCCTTAGGAGAAGTCCTAGTTTTCAAATAACTCACCCTAGGGCTGGGGATGTAGCTCAATGGATCCACCATCTGCCTCGCAAGTGCAAGGACCTGAGTTTGATCCCTGGTACCTCACACTAGACATGCTCCATGTTCCTAGCCGGACAGAGCACAGAGGTGTTTTTTTCTGAGGCCACCTCTTCAGATAATCATTTGATTTGCAATTCTGTGAAGAGTCAGATGCTTTATTCCCTTAGTAAATCTCACACCATAAGTGACCTTCTGAAGTGGCTTTTTTCTGTATTTGTATTAACAACTGAAGCTGAAAGCTCTGACCAGCAGGGGAAAAACTGCTTACTTGATAAGCAGAGCCATGGCAACATCACTTGGAGCTGCTTCATTATGCAAGTCTATGGCAGGCTCCTGAGGACCCGACTCTCAGCTCATTAAGAAATAAGATGTGTGCCATCAGCCAGTGTGACTGTGTAGAGAATATAATACCTTCTTCTGAGTTGAGAAACCTTTTTCCCTCCTGTCAGAGATCCATCCTGCGAAGAAGCCTAATGTAATTCGATCTACACCAAGCCTGCAGACCCCAGCTACCAAGCGGATGCTGACCACCCCGAATCACACATCTCTGAGCATTCTGGGGAAAAGGAACTACAGTCATCACAATGGCCTGGATGGTATGTAGGCTCAGGAATACTAGAAGCTGTTCTGATTGGCCAGGGCCTTCTGCCCTTAACCTGCCTGGGCCAGTCATCCACCAAGTCCAAGACTGTATTACAGATTCTCCATGATTGATGTGAATGTGTGTTAAGGGGATTAAGAGGGAAAACTGCCATGTGCCATAGCGAAGACATTGTGCCAAGTGAAATTTCTCCATTTCCTAGGAGGTACCTTTTGCTCACATCTGTTAGGAGCCTGGTTTGGAGATGAAGTCTGTTTAGCAGGTTGCTTCTGCTGGGTAATAATGTTCTTGCTGTGATGCACACTCACTGCTCATTTGAAGTTTTCCGATGCGAAGAGATTATTTTGCCTTATGTCTGAGACATCAGTGCTCTCTGGGGGATTCTTCAGTTTTCTGTGGATCGTTTTGAATTTGGCATTTGTACCTTATTTCCTTAACCTTATAAAAGTTTTAATTGCTGAAGAGTGCTACAAATTATGAAAGGAATTACCTGGGTGATGTACTAAATACAGAAATAATAATTTGTTTAAAATTGAAACACCAAGAAATATCACCTCTCACCCAGAGTACTTTTCTCGGACTTGACCACATAATGACCCTTCAGGTAGAATTGAATTATCTTACCATTTGGATTACTGTAATAAATCATCCAGGCAGTATAAAGTGTTCATTTCAATAGTCTTGGAGTTTTGAAACTGTCTTTATTATTTAAGTGTTGACATTTATTTGTGAATAAAACTCTTCAGGCTTTTCATGCCTTATGGAACTCTAAATTCCTTCAGCAACAGTGAGAGCAAGGTTGTGAAATAGACCTTCTAATAATAATTTCCCAGGTTTGCTTTCCTTTAGCATGACTTTTTTTTTTTTTTTTTTTTTTTTTTGGTACCGGGGATCGAACTCAGGACCTTGTGCTTGCAAGGCAGGCGGCGGAACCACTGAGCTAAATTTCTGGCCCTAGCATGACTTTTGATAGTCACAATCATGTAAAAATTAGTAAATAAATAATGGGGGAATGTCTAGTTAGCATTTATGAGGTCTCAGGGTGCTGTAGATAAGGCTTTTGAGAATCTGGCCACATAGCAGTCTTGCAGAAATACCTTCATACTAATAAAAACATTGGCCATCCATGCCCCAAAATGCTTGATATGAATAATAGAAACCCAAGGAATGATGATGCCAACATGTAGAGATTAGATTTCTTTTCAGCTTCTCCTTGGGTTGAAGCTTAAATAGAACCTGGAATCTTTCTTTTCCTCTTGCCACCTCTCTGGTGCACAGTCCTGCTGCAGAAGCGTAGATTGGAATTGTTACACATTTGAAAAGTCTGTTATTGTGACTGATGGCAGAGTGACAGCCTTCTAATATCTTCCTCCTCCTCCACTCTGTGCGGTTCTGGACCCCCAGTCCGAGCCATGCATTGCAGCTCTTGTTGTCAGGCAGCACCTGGTGCTCCACAGCATGGGTCCTGGTCTCCTTTACAATGCCGCCTTGTAGTGCTCCTTCTCTGGGGCCGGTTTGTCCCACTTCCCTCTGAGTGACTGCTGCCACAAGGCCGTTGCTTTTCTGCTCTGAGCAGGAGGACTGGACAGAGCACTCAAGAATGCTTGCTGTGACAGTGACCTGCTGGGGAACAACCTCTGTCTCATTTTCTTCAGAGACCCAGCTGTTGACCCCCTTGATTCTCAATGTCCATTTGTCTTTGCTCTGCCATCACTGTATGGAAGGGAAGGCTGAGGACAGTGTGCCCTGCACTGTGCTTGCTCCCTTGCCTGTGTTGCCTCCTTTAATTCACATAACAGAAGATCTAGGAGGTCAAGGAATTTGTTTTGCACGCTATTACACCGCTGTGCCTTACCCAGTGCCTGGTACTGAGTAGGCTACTAGATTTTATTAATTGTATAAAGGAAAGTGATTAAAGAAATGTGACCTAGAGAGGTGAGTTAAAATTTCCATTCTTAGGTATGACAGTATGTGGTATGATAGAAAAATATGGTGAATTTCTAAGTTTTTTATATATTACGTAGAGACACATAGCCATCAATCCCCCTTAAAATACTGCTCCCCCGTCTGTCTTCAGTTATACTTTCATGGCTGCTCTCGTGTCCTGAATTGATTTGTTTACCTTTTGTGGTCATTTTGACTTTGGAGAAGAGCCAGAAGTCACATGACTCCAGACCCAGTGAATAAGGTAGATGAGGACACACCGAAGTGTTTTATGAGCCCGCCTTTCTGTTGGATGGCACCAAAAGGCAGCGTTCACTGTGTTTTGATTGCACCTCTTATGAAAGAAGACTTCCAGAATTCCTTCAGAAGTGCCAAGAACAGCAGGATCAGTGTGGGGGAGTGTTTTGGGGAGGAGTTAATGTGTATTTTATTGTAATCAGTTTTTTATTCACCATATATCATGTATTTTGATCACTCCTTGTAGATTAACTGGGATTCCTACTTACTTGTGACTAGCTTCAGAATCTACACCCTTTTTTTTGTTTGTTTGTTTGTTTTGAGACAGGGTCTCACTATGTAGTTGAGACTGACCTGGAACTCACTGTGTAGCCCAGGCTGGTCTCAAACTCACAGGATCCTCCTCCTCAGGGTCCCAAGTGCTGGGATAACTATGTAGTAGACTGACCTGGAACTCACTGTGTAGCCCAGGCTGGTCTCAAACTCACAGGATCCTCCTCCTCAGGGTCCCAAGTGCTGGGATTACAGGCATGCGCCACCACGCCTGGCTCTACACCCTTTTTTGAGACAGGGTTTTGCTATGTAGTTCAGCTGGCTTTGAAGTCAGTAGGTAATCCAGGCTGGCCCTGAACTCACAATCCTCCTGCTTCAGCCTCCAGAGTGCTAGGATTACAGGCGCGCACCACCATACCCTGCCCAGAATCTGTGCTGTTCACTGCTGTTATAGATCAAGTTTTGGCTCTTGATTATGCTGTATTAGGTTCTACCAGAAAAGTAGAAGCTGCATAAATTAATAGTTAATTCAGTATGAGAAATCAATGTGACCAACCCTGGTAGACAGCATAGATGAACAGGGAACATGGCAGGTACAGGAAACAGCCACTCTTCGGGTTGAGAGAGCATAAGGAAGTGGGGGTTATAACATAGACGCTCAAGGGGGCCTCGGGAGCCAGAACCCAACCTCTGAGAAGCAATTCAGGCATCCTCAGGAGGTGTGAAGAGGCAGCTTCTGGAACACACTGGTACTGCTACTGAACGGGTCAGTGACCAGCACAGGAAGAAACCTGCCCCTCCCTGCTCCTTCTGTCCTGCAGGCTCTCTAGCACCACCTTCTGGCATAATGGGGAGCCATATGGCACACCAAACAGGATATTGATGGATGGAACTAATTTAACTGGAAACAAAACCAGCTTCTACTGAAATGTTGAGGTCTCTCAGCTTCAGGGCTGAGATTTCCTCCTTGATGGCTTGCCTCCTCCACTCATCTTCCACCTTTGCATTTTGAGTTCTTGGTGATGGTCAGTCTCTTGATCTCTGCTAGCAGAAAGGATTTTGCCTGGCATTTCTAAAGATGATGGACAACTTCTTACTGCCTTCCTGAAAGTCACTCTCCCCCTTTTCTTTTTTATGGTGGTAGGAGGGTGGGATCCAGGGCCTTTACACTGAGCTACATCTCGGGTCCTTTTAAATTTTTTTGTTTTGAGACAGGATCTCACTAAGGGACCAGGTTATCCTTCGAACTTGCAGACCTCCTACCTCAGCATCTCAGAGTGCTGAGATTACAAGCTGCCTAGTCACTGTCTTTGTGTGCCTCTGGTGAAGGCCCTTTAAAGGCCCCGCTGTTGACCAGGGTCAAGGGCCCAGCATTCCATGTGCTCTGTGAAGCTAACTCCACGGCTCTGTGCCAGTCAGACTCTGTGACCAACTCATTGGAACTTCAGTTCTGAGGGTGACAGTGAAGTCTGTGTGCAGGAGGAGCCTTAGCACAAGGTGTCACTAATGATAGTAAGAATGAAGCTCAGAAAAAAGAAGAAAAAAAAATATGAAGCTCAGAAGCTGGGCGGGGTGGCGCATGCTTGTACTTCCAGCACTCGGGAGGCTGAGGCAGAAGGATCACTGTGAGTTCGAGACCAGCCTGGGCTACATAGTGAGTTCCAGGTCAGTCTCACTACATAGTGGGACCCTGTCTCAAACAAACAAACAAACAAAAAAAAAGCAGCTCAGAATGATTGATGCGCCCAGTACCTCATGGGGCAGCAGACACTCTGTCTTTTCCCTCAGGCTGTTGGCCCAGCAGCGCACTGCATCCTGTTGTGGGCATTTCCTGTCTCCCCCATTTCTCACACACACATGCTCTGATGACATACATATTCTCAGGAAGTGGATGGAGCACAGTATCTGCCACATCCAGTCTACTCAGTTACTCCAGGACTGTGAGTAGGGGAGGCCCTGCTGGCATCGGGGCAGAAGAGCCATGCAAGGGAGACCTGTCCATGTGTGAGAGAGCAGGGGAGAGGGCACGGGAGGGATGAGATTGTCTGTGCTGTGAGGGCAGAGGGCAGGTACCTGAGTGTTCGCAGTCAGATGGCGTCAGTTGTGACCTTCTCTGATTTCTTCCTGTGTAACCTTGGGCAGATCACTTGGTTTCTTTGCACCTGCTTTCTCCCCTGACCCTGCTTTCTCCTTTGTACATCTGTAAAGTGCAGGTTGCATTTGCCTTACTCAGAACCTTGTGCTCACGAGGCAGGCCTGGTGCCGCTGAGCTAAATGCCTGGCTTTTCTTTTTTTTCTTTCTTTCTTTTTTTTTTTTGAGACAGTCTTACTTCAGGTTGCCCTTGAACTCATTATGTAGCCAAGGCTGTCCTCACACTCATGGCAATCCTCCTGCCTCATCCTCCCACCTACTGGGATTACAGGGATGGGCCGCCATTCCTGGCCCAAACCTGCATTCAAGTAATGAAAAACATCAGAGCTCAAAGAAGTTAAAAAATTTGCTCAAGTCACACTGCTAGCAAGTAACAGCAATAGAATTTA